TATCTTTTCCCATTCCTTTGTTGTAAACTTTTCAGTGATATTTTATTTGTTTTATAAACAGCATTGAGCTGGATTTTGACTGCTACTGGTATTTTTGTCCGCAGAGTCACTGTCTTTTAACAGGGGATTTTAACACACTCACATGGATTGTGGTCGCTGATGGGTTTGCATCTGGACTGGTCTTACGTGTCACTCTGCTGCAGCCACGGCGGACTTCGTGCCTTCCTCACATCCACCCGCCTCGGCCTGTTCAGGGCTTTTGTATTTGCTGCTCCCTCCACCTCCGGCTCAAAGGTCCCTCTGCCTTCTTGTCTTCTCAGGTCTTAGCTGAACACCCTGTCCCTCTGCGAGGCCTTCTCTCACACTACTGCACTTTTTTCCTTTAAAGAGCTACTGCTCCCCAAACCGATAGATTACCTGACTTAATGTCTGTTTCCCTCACCACCCTGTAGCCTCCAGGAGCGCATGAGCTTCCTGTCTTGTTCATCACTAGTGGCAAGCCAGCCATCTTTGACTAAAATCTTACAGTGTGTGTTTTTGGAAGATCCATGAGTCAAACTGGATTTAAGTTTACAGCTTTTTGTGGCTTTACAAATGGCAAAATGGGAGGGTCTGAATTCTCACAAACGTAGCATTCATTTCCAAAAATGCAATCTGTTTCTAGAATATGAAATACCAATTTTAGAGAATACAGTCAAGCACCTCTTATTTACACTCGAGGCAGTATATATATTAAACATGAAAGGAAATCTTTGTTGCATGTTCAACTTGGCAAATGAGGCAATTCACTTTTAGAAATGCAGCAAGTACTGAGTTTCAGATGAAAATACAAAGTTTTTTGTCAGNAAAAAAGAACAAGCTACTGGGATCATATCAAGAAGAATTTGAACATAAAAATATAATAACTGCAAGAATCAAAATGCATCAAATATTTTTAAATCCATGAATTCGTAATGATACAAATCATTGGTTATCTTTGCAGGATGCTAAAGAACCAACTCATTATTTTAGAAACTGATAAATAAGGGGGGGAAAGTATATATTCTGTTTTTCCTACATAAATTGTATATGAGATTATCTATGAAATTAATGAAGTGCTTCACTGTAGAAGTGTTTCAGTTGGTAAATGAAGACGGAATGATCAAACATCACCATTCTGTAACCCCTAACGAAATAATGCATTTAGGCACCGTCCTTCAGTGGCTGATAACAGAAAAAGAGAGATGAGCATGGGTTCAAATATTTTGAACCTCCTGATGAAAGTACACACACCACCTGTGAAATATGCATGCCCAAAAGAACTGAACCTGAGTCTACTCAAGCTTCTAAATCAGCAATTCTCCAAGGATGGCCTACAGGCCCCTGGGAGATCCCTGACACTCTCTTAAGGAACCTGTGAGATCAAACTATTTTCATATTAATGCTAAGACACCATTTGCCTTTTCAATTGTGTTGACATTTGCACTGATGGCACAAAAGCAATGGTGGGTATAAGTGCTAGCTCCGTAGTTATGAATACCTGAGTGGCACCAAATAGTATTAGTGGCTATTGTATTCATGACCACAGGCTCCATTAAAAAAAAAAACCAAAACACAATTCCCTTAGGAGTGCCCTTGATGAAATGGTAAAAAGTATTAATTTTATCCAAGTTTGACCTTTGAGTGCATGTATAATGAAATATGCCAATATTTGGAAGATCTTTGTGACTCCAGTGAACCAATATCTTCCAAATGATCGCACGCATTTATGTTACAAAATCATGTACGAATAAAAGTTCACTCGAAGTGTAAGACATGCAAATGAAAACCACAATGAGATACCACCTCACACAAATCAGAATGGCTATTATCAAAAAGTCAACAAATAACGTGGCGACAAGGGAACCCTCGTCCACTGTTGGTGGGGATGTAAATTGGTGCAGCCACTATGGAAAAACAGTATGGAGGTTCCTCAAAAAATTAAAACTAGAAATACNCAAACGGATAAGAGCGCTAATTGTAAAAATGGAAACCGTAAGTACTTGAAGAAAGCATGTGTGAATACATTTAAAACCTGGGTGTGGAAAAGGCTTTCTCACAACAGCAAAAACCCAGATGCAATAAAAAATGGATGGATGAAAACCTTTGGTGTGAAGAAAACATCACAAATTTTTAAAAATCAATAAGCACACATACACTATAAGCTAAGACAAATGAGGAGCTGGAAGAAAATATTTGCAACAAATACCATATATTTTTTAAAGAATTTTAAAAAATTAAGAGTTCTTTATATATCAGGCCAATACGCTCTTAAATATATAAAGAGTTCTGCAAAAAAGAAAAAAGAAAAATGGGCTAAAAGACTTGAAAAGATAGTATATGCACAAAAATATCTAATCAGTCCTTAAACATGAAAAAAAAATGCTTAGGTTCACCAATAATAAGAGAAACTCAAATCAAAACCACTTAGAGATGCAATTTCTTACATTTCAGATGGCAAATATTCAAAAGCTCGACAACCCTCTATTTGTTGGTAAGGCTGTGGGGACAGAGGCACTCTCATACGTCGCTGAATTGGAGTGCAAAATAGTGTAAGCCCTACGAAGGGGATCTGGCAATATCTAAATATCAAAACATGAAACGGGAAGGTACAGAAGAATCCTGTGGTGGTATATTCGAACTGCAAGTATTAACATGAACTCACGGTTTATTAAAAAAAAATTCTGAGCTTTTTGCATTAAAGGCCTTGAAGCAACAACACCCTGTCACCAATGAGCACAGCGAGTGCTCAGACCTTGGTTGCTAAATACCATTCCCCACTCAAAGGAACTAAGGATTCTTAAGAGAAATAGCTAATTCCAGGACTAGGGCGGAAAACGTACAAGGTGGGCCTGGAACATCTTTTTGTGTCAAAAAAAAGCAAGCAAGTACTCAAGAAATGATGGGGACACATCAACAGGATACCGGAGTCACCTTGAGGGGTTCCCACTGGTAAATTTTGAGACACCTAGCATCATAAAGAATACGATGAAAAAGAATCCACGAGCTCAGAGTAAGAATCTGAAAGTGAAGAAGGTTGGAGAGAGAAGGGAAAAGCTCTTTTTTAGAAAAATCACCACTTGACAACTGTATAATGGTAACAAAAGAGAATATCATATCTCTTAGGAAATGCACACAAAACAGAGTATCTCCTTTCTTAGAAAATACAAACTTAATGTTTGAGAGTAGGTTGCAGACATCATGCATCAACCTCTCCTCATTACTTCTGCCATTTCATGTGTTTACCCGTCCATCTTTATATATGCACAGAGAAATGGCTGAAATGAGTTCATCAATGAAAATGACCATTTCTGAATAGAAAATAGGTAANTAGTTCACTCCCTCATCTTCTTACCAGAGAACTTCCTTAACTCATTATTTTAAATTGCTACACATTTTCTCTCAATCTCTCTCCCTCCCTCTCTCTTGCACCCCACCTGTCAATCTCCCTTTCCTGCTTTACATTTTCTACAACACTTACCACTATCTAACACTAAATATACTTATTTTCCATCTTCTAGAATGAAACCTCTGTGAGGGATGGATTTGGGGCTGTTCTATTCACTACTATATTCCTAAAAAAGTGTCAAGCACATATTGGTGCTCAAAAAACTAATAAATAAATGACTAAACAAACGGATGATAGTAATAGACGATGAGTAGTAGATGATGACTAAATGAATGAAATGAACAAACAGATGATGAGACAAATGAACTTGGGTTCTATAACATGGGTTCAGTGACTAATTGGTTAAACAACCTTAGATGAGTTATTCTGGTCCTCAAAAGATCCCTATCATTAGCTGTATAAACTATGACGTTCTTGCCACTCTACAAAAGTAGAACTTGTGTTATGGAAGAATGACATCATTTCCTCTGGGCCCGTCAGCAGGACAGTGCAAAGCCAGGACTAGAAAGGCGCCCCAGAATGCAAACACAACGCCCAAACTAAGCTCTTACAAACAACGGAATTATGAGAAAATTTAAGAAGGTAAAAATTCAATATTCCTAAAGAGAAAATTCTTTTCTAAAAACATCCAGAAAAGGAATGCTGACTCCTAAGCTTACTTTTCCCGCCCCCCTACTCATTAAGTCTCCGTGAACATTAACAAGTGTCTGTGGCTCAGGGAGAGATGTTCCACAGCAGAGAATGGAAAAACACACCCAGCTTCTCACAAGAAACTTTGGAACAGCTCACTATTCATCCCCAGGCAAAGTTCAGAAGAATCCTTTCAGAGAGCCTAAAATTAGGATAACAGTTAGCAAAGTGACAAAGACACTACAAAACAGCATTATTGGTCCTCCAGTCTAATTCACAATCCCAGACAAAACTATTAAAGACAAGGCGCCTTCGTTTAATGACTGAATATTTCTTTTACCCTAAAGAATTTCAAACTCGACAAAAAGAGAAAAGGCAAGTGAATAAAGGATTTTTCAAGCGAAAAAGATGCCACTGATTGGGAGCCCCAGAACTGCTCAAACACCAGTCGAACATTGTTGTCTGAAACTCATGGGGCCCTCAGCCCAGGAGCTGCTGCCAGGAGGGGTGAGGGGAGACGTGAACTACACAAGAAAATGCTCGGGCACTTGCAGTAAAATGACAGAACTGGGTGTGTGATATTTCCAATCACTTTCTCCAGCAGACATAACCGTTTACTTCCAACACTACTTACAAACTCATAGTCTCCATCCTGTGGCACTTTCCAATCTGAAGGGTTCTTCAGCGGGCCAGGGGCACTCTTGCCAAGGCTGTTGATCTGATTTTCCTTTTCTTTTTGTTCAAAGTATTCAAGGAAAGATGGTTTTGCAGGCTGCATGGTCTCATCCCTTCCTGAAAACCAAGGAAAATAAAAGGTGAAATAGAATTATCTTAGATTTCTGATACGTTTAATAAATAGATCTGTCGCCAGATGGGTCACAGCCTCTGGATCAGGGGCTCTTTTTGCTAGATAAGGACTCCTCCGAGAATCTAATGAAAACTACAGGAAAATGCACAAATGCTCACTCAAAACACTTCTCACAGAGTTTCAGAAGATTCATTGCCCCTCTAAAATACATGCAAAGATTTCCTCAAGGTCCCTTTTTCGAGATGGAAAGATCTGGGTGATGCAATGACTCTGAGTAAGCTGCAAGTAATATTTTTTAGTCCCCTAGAGCAAATAGTTCCTATTATATTAGACTGAAAACAGAGGAACAAGCAAAAATATGTATTAGTTATCTATATACGAGGTCGGATGATTAAGTTCGCGAAATTGTTGCAATGATCTTGCTGAACTTTTCTGATATCAGAGAGATTATTCATTACAAATTTGTACCAACTGGACAGTTCACCAAGTTTACTATTTGGAAGTGCAGAAAAGGCTGCATGAAAAAGTTAGATGACCTGAACTTTTCGCCAACAATTCATGGTTCTTGCATCACAACAATGTACCAACTCACATGGCACTGTCTGTGAGGGACTTTTTAGCCAGTAAACAAATAACTGTATTGGAACACCCTCCTTACTCACCTGATCTGGCCCCCAATGACTTCTTTCTATACCCAAAGATAAAGGAAATACTGAAAGAAAGACATCTGGAATGATATCCAGGACATCAAGGGTAATACGACGATAGCTCTGATGGCCATTCCAGAAAAAGAGTTCCAAAATTGCTTTAAAGGGTGGACTAGGCAGTGCTGTTGGTGCATAGCGTCCCAAGGGGAGTACTTCGAAGGTGACCTTAGTGATATTCAGTAATGAGGTATGTAGCACTTTTTCTAGGATGAGTTTGTGGACTTAACTGTCCGACCTCGTATATAATATTCTCTACAGGCATTACAGTAGGAAAGGAGGATGATACACTAGGGTGACTTCCTTTGATAATCTCACCTGGACTAATGAGCAAAATATGCATGAAAAAGAAAATACAAGCAAATCACAATCCACTCCATGAAATACTATATAACTTTTCAAATACTATTTACAAATGGTTTAATAGAAACTTAAAGGGAAAAATAGGATACAACATTACATATACAGTTTGATATCAATTCTGTAAAATCACATACATGGGAGGGAAAAAAAGGAAAGAAAATACACCAAAATGTTAACAGGATTTGTCTCTGACAGTAGGATTATAGGTGATTTTATTTACTTCTTTTAAACATTTTATAAAAGAAGATAGGACAGGGTAAGTATTAAACAGATAGAACTGATTATAACAGTTACATGTGCCCAGAAGATGGAGAAATCATGCAAGCTGGGTGATTAGGGAAAATTGGTAGAGGAGGGCTTAGGCTGGGCCTCAGACGATCCCTAAGGAAAGATTCAGCAGTTACACGGCAGAGCAGTTACACAGCAGGGCACCATATAAGACAGCAAACAATAGCAGTTACTAGTTACAACTAGTAAGAAC